GTGTGTGTGTGTGTGTGTGTGTGTGTGTGTGTGTATTCAAATGAGGACATGTATATTATAGAGGACTGTGAGGACAAATGTAGTGTGTGCCATTAGCAGGTATGTCGTGTGCATGGCCGAATGTAGTCGTGTGCCACAGTTCTTATGTCGCGTGCTAGATATGTTAATTTATAGAGCCTGGGTTCGAAACTTGATGTTTACATTTATTCTTGTGTGCCATTATGTATTAAGTTGTGTGTCTAGTATTAATTTGTTGTGTGCCCATTATTTGTCCTCATAGTCCTCTATATATTGTTGTCCTCATTTGAACTCAACCCTATATATATATATATATATATATATATATATATATATATATATATATATATATATATGTGTGTGTGTGTGTGTGTGTGTGTGTGTGTGTGTGTGTGTGTGTGTGTGTGTGTGTGTGTGTGTGTGTGTGTGTGTGTGAGAAATTATAACTTATGCCCCTCCATAATATGACAATTATCAATGTCACCCCTGAATTATTAGTGGTGTAATTGTTACCCCTCAATTTTCAAAACGGTACATATATTGCCCCTCCCGCCAAGCATTTACAGAATGAAAACTGGACCTTTGTGCCAAGCCTCAACGCGACGATCGATAATCTCTCAGCAACGCAGCTTCAGTTTGTAGGTTGATTTTGATTTTTTTGACTTCAAAATTAGGCTTTCAAATTTTCATAAGAGCGGTAGCTCTTCGAGCATTCTTTCCAATGGTGCATGAATCACTTGATTCGAAGATTTCTAGACTAAAATATGATTAAAATACTAAGATGTCGGCATATTGAGCAAAAATTACAAGTCTATGATCTTTTGCTCAACTTTTGTCTTGTTTTATCCATGTAATCATATCTATTGAAAGTATAACTCTTTTAGCTCCATATAAGTATTTTGAACATTCTCTTAGCATCTCCTTAGCTTTCATTGACTCCTAATGCATTCAAAATGCTCCAAAAGCACACTATTATCTTCAACTCAACAATTTATTGACCTATTTGCATAAACAAAGGAATTACTGCACTTTTTGTATAAAACTAAAGTATTTATCACTAAAATAGGTTTATACATACACATGGGGTAAAAACATGAACATAAATGCACTTATCATATATGTTTTAGTTTTTTTTTTTATTAATTAATTAGTAATTTATTGAGTGTTTTTGTTATTTATTATGACTTTTAGGATGTAATTGCTAGGCTAGCCTGCTAGGTCAAATGATTAGTTTTGAAATTGACAAAAATTAATAATGGTTCTATATTTTGCGATCTTAAATTTCATCTTCATCCCTTAAATTTTAAAATATGTATTCAATTAATTAGTAAAATGAATATTAATTAATTATAAAAAAAAAACATTATTGACAAAATAATTGACAAATTTTTATTTAATAAAGAGTGACAATGCATATTTAAATAAATGTAAATATTTTTACTATTAAATCTATTTTGTATTATGTACAAATTTTGAAAGTAATATTTGACGTCAATTGTACTCATATAATTATATATTTTATACATTATATTATTGCACATAGTATAATTAAAAATAGGAATAAGGTTCAAATTGGCCACTGAACGTAACCTGAAAATGCAATTAGGCCACTGAACGAAAAAAAAGTGCAATTAGGCCACTGAACACTCCAAAAATGTGCAATTTCACCCGATAGCAGGTTACCCTCAATTTTAGCAGGTTATCTGCTTATGTGGCAGCTGAGTTGGCATTTTTAATAAATTTTAATTAATTTTTAATAAATTTTAATAATAACTTTTTATTAAAAAAAAAATTTAAAAATAAAAACGACTTTATTTTATTTTTTATTTAATTTTTTATAAAATTTATTATTAAAATTAATTATTAAATATTATTTAAAAATTATTAAAAATGCCAACTAAGCTGCCACGTAAGCAGGTAACCTACTAAAATTGATGATAACCTGCTATCCGGTAAAATTGCATATGTTTGGAGAGTTCAGTGGCCTAATTGCACATTTTTTGAGTGTTCAATGGCCTAATTGCACTTTTTTTTTTCGTTCAGTGGCCTAATTGCATTTTCAGGTTACGTTCAGTGGCCAATTTGAACCTTATTCCTTAAAAATAATTATCAATAGTAATCGGCACAATTATATGGTATAGATAATGATATTATACTGTTGGTACTTAACACTTAATTTGATGACGATCAAAACATGATAATGCTAAACAAAAATAGTAATGTTCACAGTTACGGAATTTCAAAAGGGCTTCTTTTCAAGTCATACATTAGTTATTTATTCAACCATAACACCCAAGTTAGGTAAAAATTTTAATGTTATAGTAATTATATCACTCAGACCTTGTTGGCTCACATGTGCATAGTTGGCCCATTGTCTTAATTATTTGCTCAAGTTGTACTGTGCTCCTTATCTTCCAGTTGGATATTTCTTTAATGTCTAACTAGTATTTGCACCCGTGCGATGCACGGAGTGAATTTGTTGTAATATATTAAGAATATATAAATCGATATATAATTATTTAAATTAGAACATCAAATATTATATAGTGCAATTAAAGATATGGTTTGGATCGTTTATATATTTTGATGTTATCATTGCTTGAATTTGTGCAAATAATTGTTCAAATTAATAGCTAATGTCTAGATGTACACATGCGGTGCTATAACTTTGAAGATTTTATTTATCATTGTTTAGTATTTTTATAAATTAGGCAAATGTGCTCGTTCTCTAACAACTCAGTTATAGAAATGAATTGCTATCTGTATTCATTTGTATGGAAGATATATATATATTTTTTTGTCTAGATATATAGTAATTTTTTCATTTAAAAAAAAACTCAATACCACCGATTATATTTATACATTATTGAAACCTCTTTGTAGACGACATTGGTAGTGGCAACACAATCTTGTCCATCTTCGTCTAGAACTAACACCTTCAATCCATCAGGACATGTTAGTTTGGTGAAAATATATAATGGTAGAATATCACTCAATTAGTTATCATTTTATATTTTCAGTCAATTAGTAATATCATATTCATTTTCAGCCAATTATTTGTTTTACTTTCAGTCAATTAGTCAATTAGAATATCAAATACAGTGATACATTTACCTAATTTTCGTTCCATTTTTAATTGATAATGTAGATATTTTTATTGAAATATTTCTGTTCTATTTTTAATTTACCTTGCATTTTAATTAAAAATGGAATAGAAATTAAAAATTGGAGGAAAATATTTCGATAATAATATTATACATTATCAATAGTAAATGCATATTTTAAACAATAGTAACATTTCAGTCAATTAGTAATAGGAAAAATTGTAATTTATGCCCCTCACAAATACGTCAATTATCAATGTCACCCCTGAATTATCAGTGATGTAAATGTTGCCCCTCAATTTTTAAAACGTGACATATATTGCCCCTCCCCTAATAGGAAGAAGGAGAAAAATTGTTGTCGACAGAAGGAGAACAAGCGAAGAGAGGAAAATTGAGGAAAAAAACGTGATAAATTGAATAAGAAAGACGACGGGTAACCACATTTACATCACTAATAATTCAGGGGAGGGGCAATATATGTCACGTTTTGAAAATTGAGGGGCAACATTTACACCACTAATAATTCAGGGGTAACATTGATAATTGGCATATTTGTGAGGGGAATAAATTACAATTTTCTCTTAGTAATATTAGATTCATTTTCAGTCAATTATTCTTTTTTATTTTCAGTCAATTAGTCATTTAGAATATAGATGCAGTGATATTTTTACCTAATTTCTGTTCCATTTTAATTTGATGATGTAGAATATTATTAATGAAATATTTTCGTTCCATTTTTAATTTATCTTTACTATTTTTAAAAATATGACTTTACTATTTGATGATGTAAAATATTATTATTGAAATATTTCCTTTCTATTTTCAATTTTCTTTTACTTCTAAACAAAGAAAAAAAAAAAAACTTTGGACTTCGATCTCAATACTTGCCCACATTGATGGGCAAGCAATAATGCTCATATTTTGATCCTACATCATTTACAAAGGGAGCATGTGGCCCCCTTTTGTCTCTTCCTATTTTTTTTTTTTTATAACAAAAATATATTTAATAACTCAATAATTTGCACCAAACTACTAAAAACTAAAACAACACATACAGTTTTGGTTAATCTCTCTCAACCCCCACTAATAATAAATAATAAATAAATAATAAATAATAAACTAAAATTAGAAGACAAAGCTAAGGTTTCTTAGATAAGAACCTTTTGACTTCTCAATACTTGCCACATTGATGGGCAAACAATTATGTTTGTACCTCTTATATAGAGGAGCTCAAGAGCTCATCTTTTCAAACATTTTCAATGTGGATCAAAATGATCCCACATCATATACATAGGGAAGCCGTGGCTCCATTTTTTTTTTTTTTTGTTAATTTTAATTTTATTTTGTATATAGTTTTGTTTGGATTATTATTATTATTATTATTATTATTATTATTATTATTATTATTGCTTTCACACTTTGGAGGAAAAAAAATTTGACAATCATTTTACTTTAATATATATAGAGATAGAGATACCAGGACTATGTGGTCTAATGGTACTCGGGTTGGACTTCCATTTGGAAGATTATTATGAGTTCAAGCCTCAGTGAAAACGTTATTGATTCTTTGTGTTTCATTTTGTTGAAAAAGTAAAAAAAAATATAGAGATAGAGATTTAATTAATGTGATAATTTCCTATAAATCTCTTAAAACATTTTTTTGTTATTGGCTTAATTAATTTTTTGAGTACTATTACTCTATTACATTGTTGTATTTGTTTAATATACTTTCTCTAACCCTTGTAGCTAAATACTCCACCATCGAAGTTCAATCTTGTGACATTCCCTCAAGGAGAGAAACAGAGGTATCAATTAATTATTTCATATATTAGTGATAATTTAATCTAACTTATAGAATTATAATGTTATACTGCAATATGAAAAGAAATGACTGCATTGAAAAAACAATCTAACATTTCGTTAATTTCTGAAAGAAAGTGCAAATTAAAGGGGGAGACTTGGGAGTTATTAGCTGTAAAGCCTTTAACCCAACTAAGAACCACCCAGATGGCTAGTGCTTCTGCTTCCACAAATTGACCCTTATCATCATGATAATTGGGTTGAACACATCCGCTCAATTTCTTCTTACCTCAACCGACCTTTATCGTTAGTGATGGTAATCTTCTCAGATTGCCCAGAGGCCTTGTCTTCGGCTTCTCAGATTCGCTCATCACCTGCAACAACAAATTAAAAGGTAAATAAAATTTTTGTGTGAGGCCAAGATCGAAGCTAAGAATCATTTATCTTATCTAAACAAAAATTATAAGTCAAATGCTATACCACCAAACATGAAGAAACAAGTCCCAAAAACCATGTACATAACTACAAAGGCCCTTATTACCTCCAAGCTAAGTATCTACATTGGTAGCAATGATGCCTGCATCCTTAGTAGCTTGCCTCTGAGCATCAATGAAGTATGCTGCACCCAAATTCAAAGGAGAGGGAGCGTTGCAATCTCAGTAAGACCAATTACTCAATTTTACCTTGATTGTCTTTCCTTCATCTTAATAAGAATCATATATGGCACTAATCTCCTTAGGGCTGAAAACCTTTATTGGTTTCACCATCTTTAATTTCATCTTCACTTGTATATATGCATGCATGCTTTTCCATCCTTAGCTTCTTAACAAGATAATTTTGTAAGGAACAAGCTAAGTTACTTTCATGTCCCTTTATTTGCACGTCTTTGTCTTCAAACCTGCTATTTAATTAAGACCCCCATTAGAGTTAGCTTCAAAAACACAAACACATATTGGAGGAAACTTGAGATCAGAGCTAGAGAAATTCATTACTTTCTTCCAATAAGCTAGCCTCTTTACATAAAAAATGGTCCTCTGATCTCAGGGTTGATTCTTGGCTGCATGCCTCACCGATTAGTCTCTCATTGTCAGTGAATTGAAGGAAACCCATGATGGTGTGATACGATTACCTTGCTCATTGGCAGAACATTCAGCTTCTTCACTTCTTTAATGTGCGCGCTCTTCTCACTCATTAGATAAGGTGCTCCCCAGATTATGAAGTTCCATATTCTATTCAGATATTATCTTCTCCTTGCCACTCAAACAATTCTCAAGGATGCTATTTGTATCACCAGACCACTGAGATTAGAACATGAAATGTAAGCTACCCAAAATGTTAACCCCAAATGATGAACAGGCCGGGTAAGAAAAACACACAGGATATGGAAAAAAGTGAAAGACAGCATACTGCAGATGAATGCATTCTATTCATGAGAAATCACAACTTCTGAAATGTAACACAGCATCCCTCTGTTACCCATCACTCGCCTCAACCTATTACACCTAAACTCTCAACATAAAATGTCTTTCTCATCACTCAATGATGCCCCCTAGCTACTTACTCAGTGTAAGACCATTACCCAAAGCTTTTAATTTTAAGAATTAAATGATTTTTCTTCAACTCCTATCTTGTGTGCAAATAATTATATTCTATCTTTCACTTAGCATTCTACCTCAAAATGTTCCAAGTTCATGCCCTCCTGAGAAGAGTAGGAGATGGATCTAAACTGATTGTTTGCAGCCGTGAGAGAATGGAAAGCCAACTCTTATTAATTATATTGGGATGGAAGAAAATAAATAATATCCTTACCTAGCTAGGAGCTGTAGCTATATATTCCAGTTAGATCAAATTTCCCAAGCAACCTGTTGTCCTTTGTGAGACTCCTTAGCTTTCACCTTCATGTTGGATCAAGTGCTTCTCTATACAAGAACTAGATAGTCAACATGGCAGGCTGTGGAGAAAGGAAGATGCATGCCTCACTATATCTGACTTATAAACTTATAATTGCATCATTGAAGTATGCTGCAGCCAAATTCAAATTAAAGGAGAGGGAAAATGGCTATCTCAGTAAACACATTAAATTAAAATCTCAACCATAGCATTACTCATTATTACCTGGAACGGTGACAGTACAACTGCATCCTTGATTGTCTTTAATTCCAAGGTAAGCTCTTCCAATTTTATCAGGTCCCAACACTTCTTACAAATTGAAGTTTGATTTTATTCAGTCTTGCTACAACATCTTTCGCATTTAATCGCTTTCGAGGGGATTCATCTGCACAATGCAATGCCAATTCTAATATGGACGATATACACTGCAATTTCACATTCAAGTCTTCATCATCTGCCCTTAGTAAGTTGGGATCTACAACTTGAAGTACATGATGAGGTAAAGAATCACTTATCCAACTTTTCAAGCTCATATCTTCACCAAATGTTTCATCTGTGGGTCTTCTTGCTGAAAATGTTTCCATTAGCACAATTTCAAAACTATAAATGTCACATTGTGTTGATATCATTCCTGTGGATCCATACTCTGCGATAAAGAAAACTACCATCAATCCATCATAAGATTTCAAAAGGAAAATGGACGACTAGTCCATGATTATTTTAAAATATTGATAAATATTTTAGAGTTAAAATCGCATTTACCTGGTGCCATAAAGCCTAGTGTTGCTAGAGTTTCGGTATGCTTGAAGCTCTCTTCCTTAGTTAACAACTTTGTCACACTAAAATCACATACATGGGCTACCATTTCTTCATCTAATAGCACATTTGCAGGCTTTAAATCACAATGAACCACCGGCATTGTGTAACCATTATGAAGATAGTCCAAACCACATGCAACATCAATCATTATATTCAACCTTTGAGTCATATCCAAGAAGTTTCTTTGTGAATGTAGCCACTGGTCAAGGCTTCCATTTGGCATGTACTCAAGGACCAAGGCCTTAAAGTCACCGACAAAGCATCCAGTAATCACCTTAGTGAGATTTCGATGGCGTAAATTCTTTAGCACTTCAATCTCAACATTAAAACTCTCAAGTGCATCTTCTGATTGATTAAATACCTTCACTGCTATAAACATCCCGTCATCCAAAGTCCCTTTATACACAGAGCTGAAACTCCCTGAACCAATGAGATTGATTTCACTAAAGCAAGAAGTAGCCCTTAAAAGCTCATTATAAGAAATCCTTAAGTTATCCCATAGAAAGCCAAGATCTATCATACTTGGGACTCTAAGTTTCCTTTGTCGCTTTGAAAGGACAAATGAAATAATTACAAAAGTAATTATCAATGAAGCCCCAAGAGATGCAAGAGCAATAAGAAATCTTATTTTAATCCTCGAATGGTGAGTAGAATGGCACGGTGGTACGTGAAACCTAGGATTTCCACATAACTCCTTGTTGAACATGAATGATGCACTTGAGAAGTTCTTGAAACAACCAGCTGATGGAATTTCACCACTCAATTCATTGAATGAAACATTGAAGTATTTGAGGTATTCAAGTCTTTCCATAGATACCGGAATTGAACCAGAGAATTTGTTTAGAGATAAATCTAAGAATTCCAAAGAAAACATTTGACTTATTTGCTCTGGAATAGATCCATCTAGTTTATTCATTTCTAGGGAAAGAGAAATCAAATTTTGCAATTGTCCAATAGTGACAGGGATATTTCCTGAGATTTGATTGTGGGATATATCTAGAAATGAAAGTTCCTTCAAACCTTCAACATCGTTGGGTATACATCCATCTAAGAAGTTTGAACTCAAATTAAGCTCTAACAGGTCTTTGAGGTAGCACAAACTTGAAGGTATTCTAGAAGTCAAACGGTTTGAATCTAGATATATTCTTCCGAGGGAAGTGATGTTACCGAAGCATTGTAGCAATCTGCCAGACAACTGATTATTGTTTCTCAAAAATAGTTCATATAGATTGTGAAGATCACAAAGGCTATCAGGAATGGAATCACTCAATTTGTTATTACTGAGATACAATCCTTGGAGCTTACTAACCCTACCTAGTATTGGTGGAATAAAGCCGACCAAGTTATTCCTATCCAGATTCAAGGTAATCAAGCTGCTTAAGTTTCCTAGATGGTTTGGTATGATTCCCTTTAACCCACAACTCGACACCGATAGAACTTGAAGGGATGAAGAAAGATTCCCAATTGATGACGGGAGGATAGCATCTAGAGGGTTATAATCTAAGTATACCTTCTCCAAGTACTTACAATTTACCAAAGAGTTGATTATACTTAACTCTAGAGATGAAGCATCATTTGTGAGCATGTTTTGACTTATATATAGTTGTTTTAGGAGCCTTAAATTACCAAGAGATGTAGGTAATGTGCCAGTGAAATGGTTTGTGGTAAGACTTAAAATCGTAAGTTTTGAACAATTTGAGAGAGAGTCTGGTATCACTCCAGAGAGCTTATTAGCACCAAGATAGAGCCCCTCTAGGTTCAACAAAGCATGCCCAATGCTTGAAGGAAGGGTGCCCACAAGGTTATAATTGAATGCAAAAGAAATTCTTTTTAAAGAAGAAATGTTGAAAACTTCCTTGGGTATAGACCCACTTAAGTTAGCAAAGTAAAAATATACTTCCTCCAACATATGAAATTTTCCCAACTCTTTTGGAATTACACCTGCAGCAAAAATGCTTATTTTCTTCAATAAAATTATAATATGTGAAAATAAGTTGTGCAATAAACTTTGAATTAATATATGGAATTATGGATATTATTATCATATTGCATTTTAACTTCAATACATTTTTATTTAAAATAATTTGAACTATTTTAAATTCTAACCTAGATTCCCAAGTTCATATTCTTTAATGACAAAGTGTTTGGCAATTGGCTAATAGCGGATAGTTGATTGGGTTACTTGGTTTGACCAACTGATAATATAAATTAGTTACTTGTAAAAAAGTATTTGGTAAATTAATTATTTACTTTTAGCTGATTGGATGTAAAATGACTTATAACACTATAAGGGCATAAATATATTATGCTAATTTATTAACTCTTAAATTAGTTTTACAATTTTTATTTGTTTGTTTATTTATTTATTAATTTTTTTTTATTACAAGGATGAGTGAAATAAAAAAAAATTTATTATTGTTATTAGGGATACAGAAAGAAAAAAGGGCAAGGTAGATGAACAACAACAAGATAGATATAATGTTAGGGAAGACAATGGTAAATTGATTATCATTTCATAATTAAGGCAAATCAGCAAACCAAAAACTCTACTCTTCTTTAACTTTTCAAAATTTTGCTTATTGTCCCAATAAGTTAATGCAATAAGCTATTTTACCAAAAACTTTAAATAGTCTATTGATCAGTCAAACCAACCAAAATTAGCTTATCAGCTATCTTACCAAACAGAGCCTAGTCTTAAATGAAACCGCTTCATGTGAGACCTGTAATACTGTTAGCTAAAATATAATAGTTTTCTATAAATTTATAAAATATATTACATTTTATTAGTCAAAATTTATTACACATTTCATATGAACTAGACTTTTACAAGATTATGTACTTACGTACCTTGTATTCATTTTATGTGTAAGTTTTAATTTTAAAAACAGTACGTATTATCAAAAAAATGTTGTTTATTACAAATTTATAACAAGTGAAGAACTGTACAAATTAATAACGAAAAAAAAAAGTTAATGTTTTATATATACTTAGTTCAATATTCTTTTTTAACTTCAAAAAATTATATTGAATAAAAAATTATTAAAAATATGAATGAACAATACTTTTAGATGATACATACATGCATAATAAGTAAATAAATGATTGGATTCAATCTTTTAGTGTAGAACAAATACAAACTTGTAAAGAATTATGAGTGTTTAAAAAAAAGTAAATAAATATTAGAATTATGAGTGTTGAAAAAAAGTAAATAAATATTATGTATTGTATTTATTGTAAAGGAGGTTTTTTTAAACTCATTATGATTGGTTGAAAGTAATAATTATGTGTCATTTTCTTATTTAAAATGATTTATAATTATTCATTTAGAGTCCAAACTTAAGTAAATATAGGAATAAATTCTGAGTTTATAGAGTAATTAGCATTCAAAAAAAATTCTGAATTTATACATTTAGGGTGTGTTTGGAAACCTTAAAAATGAGTTCTGGAAATCATTTTTCAAGTTTCCATTGTTTGGATGTGTCTGGAAAATCAAGTCAACGGAAATCATTTTCCATTGACTTTGGAAAATAGGCTTGTTTTGGAGGAAAATGACTTCTTTTTTTGGGGGAAGTCATTTTCCAACTTTTACACCAACATCACACCACCACCAACATCATCAACACCATACCACCACAACCTCACTACCACCACCACCACCACTACTGCCGCCGCCACCACCACTATACCACCGCAACCACCGCCACCATCACACCACCACCACTACCACCACCAACACCATACCACCGCAACCACTACCACCACCAACACCATCAACACCATACCACCGCAACCATCGTCGCCGCCACCACTGTCACCCTACCATCGCCACCACGCCACCACCACCACTATACCACCGCCACCACGCCACCACCACCACTATACCACCGCCACCACACCACCACCATCACGCCACCACCACCGCCGCCACCACCACCACCATACCACCGCAACCACCGTCGCTGCCACCACCACCACCATCACACCACCACCACTACCGCCGCCGCCACCACCACCACCATACCACCGCAACCACCGTAGCCGCCACCACCACCACTACCGCTACCGCCACCACCACACCACCGCAACCACCGTCGTCGCCACCACCACCACCATATCACCGCCGCCGCCACCACCACCACACCACCACCATCACACTACCGCCGCCGCCACCACCACTACCACCAATTATTATTATTATTATTATTATTATTATTATTATTATTATTATTATTACTATTATTATTATTATTATTATTATTATTATTATTATTATATAACGAATAACACTACTACCACTACACCACCACCAACACCATAATATTTTTGATATATTATTAGTTATTTTTATTATATTTAAAATTATTATTATATTATTATATTATTATATATTATTATACATGTTGTAATATTCTAAATAAAATAATTAAAATGTTTAATTATATAATTCTACTCATTTTCCAAAAAATGAACCAAACACACAAAAACAGTTTTCCAGAATGCAACCAAACACTGGAAAGGAAAATGTTTTCCGAAAAATGACTCATTTTCCAGAAGTCATTTTCCTGCTTTCCAAACGACCCTTAGCAGTATAGCATTGAATGTACCTCCAAAATTGTTATATCCAATGCCTAGGAATTGAAGCATGGTTAAATTCCCAAGCTCCTTTGGCATATGTCCTGAGAGAAAAAAAACAATGCTTTGTTACTATACGTTGTAGTGACGACAAATTAAATTAACTTAGGAAGGAAACTGCTTTGATTATCTGATGATTACATAACAAAGAGGTACGAACCAGAGAGACGGTTGGACTGTAAATTAAGAGAACGTAAGGAACGCAAAGCGTATATCTCCTTTGGAATAACACCTGCAAATTATTTTCATATTAATAAACAACGACTAACTTATTACAGAGTACTTAATAAATGAGCTAATTATAAGAGAAGGTTCCAAATTACAAGGTTGATCATTCTTTCAAGGTTGAACCCCAACCCTAAGGACCCCCCATACTCCGGCCCAACAGAACATCTGAGAGGATGTAAATCATGGTAACTCAACTGAACATGAACCATAGATGCTAGACCTTTGTTTACTGCGCACAAGGAGCTCCCTCACTTTGAGAGGTTGCTCCCACACTATCGCTGGTGAGACTCTCATTCTTCCAAACTTTTACCCCTCTATTACAAGGTTGATCATTGACAATTTGACATACTATTGGTGGTGTAAGTCGATCTATATATCCAAATAATATATATATATATATATATATATATATATATATATATATATATATATATATATATATATATAGAGAGAGAGAGAGAGAGAGAGAGAGAGAGAGAGAGTTGAGTTCAGGTGCGGTCGCGCCATCCCATGCTATCAGTGCCATCACACCAATAATTATGCAAATATACACCATCAACATTAGGAATTGCACAACAAAAAAATGCACAAATTTGGTACGCATCACCAAAAACACACCATTAGTTATGAATAAAAACACCACACAGTGTTAGGAAATGCACGGGTGGGGAGTTATATGGTGTATTTTTTGGTGTATTTTTGTATTTCATTGTTGTGTGTTTTCCTACACTATTGGTGCCTCTATTGGTGTATTCTTCAAACAGCTGCACGGGAAGGCGTGGCCTCATTTGAACAAACTTATATATATATATATATATATATATATATATATATATATATATATATATACTACTTTTTCCATCCGACGTGTACCGAGTTTCGGCTGACTTCAGGTAACGACTCACATAATAAACCGGGTGTTGAGTCCGTTCCTCTCGGACGAGTACCGAACTCACGGCCTTGGAAGACGTCGCCAGATATAAATACAAAGGTTCACCGACCTGGGGGGTGGATAGCACCGGAGGTGTGGAAAGATATCTTTTCAATTCTTCAAAGGAGTGCTGGCACTCGGCCGTCCACGCGAAACCTTCTTTCTTCTTCATGGCCTCGAAGAAGAGCACAGTCTTATCTACCGACTTACTTAAGAAGCGGCTCAGAGCGGCCAGTCGGCCGGTCAATCTTTGCAGATCTTTAACGGTGTTGGGAGGCTGCATATCCCTTATGGCCTGTACCTTCTCAGGGTTTGGCTCAATGCCTCGCTTGGTCACCATGTATCCCAAGAATTTTCCCTCTTGCATGGCAAAAGCGCACTTTTTGGGATTGAGCCGTAGATTGTACTTAAGCATTACCTGGAAGCAGTCGGCTAGGTCTCTAGCGTGACCAGCTTCTTCCCGACTTCTCACCAGCATATCGTCCACGTAGGCTGCCATGGATTTTCCTAACAGATTTTGAAACAGCCGGGGGACCATCCGGGTGTACGTGGCCCTTGCATTTTTGAGTCCGAAAGGCATGACTTGGTAACAATACACGTCGTCCGGGGTAAGGAAGACTGTTTTCTCCTCATCGGCCTTGTGCATGTAAATTTGGTGATACCCTCGGAAGGCATCCATGAAGCTCAGTAATGCCGACCCTGCTGTCTCGTCAACCAACTGGTCAGACTTTGTTAAGGTCGGTGTAGTCCACACACATCCTCCAAGCTGGTGGTTTTGGCACAAGCACCACGTTGGCTAACCACTCCGGATACTTGACTTCTCGGATATGGCCGGTGGCTAGCAGCGTGTTTACTTCCTTTTTGACGAACTCTCTGCGATCATTGGCTAAGTACCGCTTTTTCTGGATCACAGGTCGGTGGCTGGGGTCGACGGCAAGCCTGTGAGAGATGATAGATCTGTCCACTCCGGGCATATCCTCGGGTCCCCAAGCAAAGACCAGGCGATTTTCTCGGAGCACCCTTATTACTTATTCTCGTACCTCCTCTCGGAGGCCAACTCCAATCCTTGATCGCCTCTCTGGTTGAGCTGAATAGAGCTCGACTTCCTCTAGTTCCACGACCGGTTCGGGTCGAGGCGGCATCGTCTTCTTCGGGGGTCGCTCCGTGATCTCGTGGACCTGCATCTCCCGTTTGCCCATGCCTCGGCAGGCTTGCAGGTAACAATCGCAGGCGACCCTTCCATCACAATGGAACACGCCCACCCCACTCGTTGTGCGAAACTTTAGGCAGAGATGCTCGATGGAGATCAATGCTCCTAAATCTTCCAGGCCCGGCCGACCGAGGATTGCATTGTGAGAGCAAGCCAGGTCGACCACAATGAACTTCATATCTAGCTTCTGCACGTCGGGATAACTGCCAACCTCAACGGGCCGAGTGATAGATCCTTCCGCTTCCACGGAGTCGCCTGTGAAGCCGGCCAATGGCGTCTTAACTGGGGCCAACTGCTCTCATGCCAACCCCATTTTGGTGAAGGTTTCGAGATATAAGACATTGACACTACTTCCAGTGTCTACTAGGATCCGTCGAACGACCACCCTGTTTACATCCATCGCGATGACTAGGGCTTCACGATGCGGCGTCTCCCCGGTAGGCAAATCTTTGTCCGTAAAGACGATAGGCTCTCGGCACACTTTCTTCGAGCCGCCTTCTCGTCCATATACGATCCCCACGTATAGTTGCCGAGCCCAGGCTTTTCGAGTGTTGGCGGAGTTACCTACTTCAGGTCCACCGACTATCATGTTGATAACCGGCTTTTGCCTCCACTGGGCTTCGCCTTCGTCTGTCGCTGGTTGCTTGCCGGGATTACCTTCGATCGCGTCCGAAGGGTCACCGTCTTCCTCGAGGTGTGGACCTTATTCGCCATTGATTGGGAGGCGATGTCCCTTGCTGGATTATTGCCTCCATGATCTTTTTAGGTAATAGCACTCCTCCGTGCTGTAGGTGTAGGACTTGTGATATCGACAATACTTGGATGTCTTACCCGAATCCTCATTCGCTGTGCGTTCCTCGAGCGGAGGTAGTGGAGGCGGCGCGACCGCCTGGACCTCGTGCACCGGGTGTTGAGGAGTGGGCCTGTAAGGCTGGGTGCTAGCCCTATCATACATGCGTCGAACTTCGGGTCGCCTGGCTATGTCCGGACGTCTTTCTCTTACCTCCCCTTTTTCCTGATGGATATCTCCCAGATGAGTTAAGTCCTTTTGAGGCTTGATGTTAGCCGCGTAATGACTCATGAAGCGGTCGGCCAGCTCCTCAAAGCTGAGGATCAAGCCTGAGGACAAGGCCACAAGCAATCTCTGCACCGAGCCCTTTAGCGTCGGTAGGAAGGCGCGACACATGACCGGATCCCGGACTCCCAGGACTTGCATTTTAGCTTGATAGCTCAGAAGATGTTCGCGCGGGTCGCCGGATCCGTCGAAAGTGGCTTGCTCCGGGAACTTGAAGTCGCCGGGTATTTTGTAAGCCATAATCTCAGCCGAGAAAGGCAATGCGGTGAGCAACGTTCGACCCGGGGACTTGGTCCTACCTTCCACTTGTTCTTTCAAATTCCGTAACTCTTGTGCCAGGTGAGCCACTTCGCCGGTGTTTCTCGCGTGATTTCTTGTGGATTCGGTGTTTTCTCCAACTTGGGACTCGGCCTGCCGTTCCTCATGGCGAACGGGCACCTCAGCTTGTCGGGCCCGGGTCCAGGTTCTTCTGGTATGAGTTCTCTCACGGTTGATTTCTTGATTTTGTCGACTTGTTCTTGGGCGACTGGGTTCTCCTTTGCCTAGTCGCTCTCTTGCCGAACGCCGTGTTACGTTCGGGCCTAGCCTCGAATGAACTGACCGCGCTGGTGGTTCTTCCGACCTTTGATCCTCTCGCCGACCTTTGTCCGACCTCTGGGGTACTTGCTGATTAAGCGGCTGTATGTTAGGCGGTCGCGAGACTGATGACTCTCTCCTCTCCTGAGTCTCTGCCGCGACAGCACGGGCGATGGCCTGAATTTGCTCGGGGGTGAGAGGTATTATTGCCGGAGGTCGGTTCCGAGGCGCTGAGTCGTCCTCCTGGCTCTGCGAGTTCCGTTGATTCAACTGATCTCTTAAGTCTACCTCCGGGTCGCCATTGCGACGGGAGCCACGGCTTCGTCCTTCAGACATGTTGTAAGCTAAAGGAATATGACTTGCATACTATTATTATTCTAAGAATACAGTGTCTTCTTGTTATTTAAATCAAACCTTATTTGTTGTTGCAAAAATTTTAATTTTCTATTTCAAATTTATATTTCTTCAATTAAAATGTATATTTTATTACAAGCTGATCTACTATTTATAAGATAAAATTTCTCTCTATTTTAAGAATGTAAATACGAAAATTCATTATCTAATAAATCTTATAGGAAAAATAATAATATTTCAAAATATCAATGAGAGTTTACAAGATGAATAGTTTACATTAACAACAATTGAGTACTCAATTATATATAAACCTAAGGAAACCTTATGAATTCGATCATATGCTATAACTTAAATGCATAACTACTCTTTAATTACTATTTGACAACATCAATAAGCATATTATAATCATACAATTTTTAATAAAAAGTAATTTAATTTTTATAACTAACTCATCAATAATATTGCATTAATAAGACTTTAATTATTTTAATATAAAAAAATTGTTAGGATATCATTTTTATTCTCGACTATAACTATCTACCGTAATACTTATCCTTACTACTACATTTATAACTAGTTCAAAATACACATTTTTTATTATATTGAAAATAATCATTTTTATTTTATATTAATTATTAATATTTAAAAATTATACTCAATACTTAATTATTGTACCGTACCCTTCATTTATGTTCATTTTTTTTTGTTCTTTTGTCATACATTATGATATAAGAGATGTACTATACAATTATAATTTTTTTACAAAAATATTCCTACTGTTATAACTTATGTTATCTTTTCCTATTATTATTATTATTATTATTATTATTATTATTATTGTTGTTGTTGTTGTTGTTGTTGTTGTTGTTGTTGTTGTTGTTATTATTATTATTATTATTATTATTATTATTATTATTATTGTATTATAAATATCTAAAGTATAAATTTAAAAAAAAACTTATAAGAGTGAATCAATGTTATTACCAATGATTTATATATGTATTTCTATGCTAATTGAGTTGTACATTGCTCTATAAATATTGTACAATCATTTTTATTAGATAAAATTATCTTACATCATTAAACTTCGATTAGTATATATATTAAATGTTATCATAATTATATTTATTAATTTATCATATCTAAAATTTTTACTTTAATAATATAATATTAATCATTCCATAATTATTACCCAAATTATCGACTACTCTTTTAGTATAATATAAATTCTACAACTATGAATTAAACAAAATTATATAATTATATAGTACAACTATGAATATTAATATTGGGTATCTTTTTTCTTTTTCTTTTTTGCTCATCGCATATATAAAATACTGGTACTAAAATTTAAAAATAAACCTATGTCAAGACTGTTCCACCTTGCAATAATGTGGATTATAATCCACTGTATAAATTTTCACTAAACCCCTTCCCCCAGGGATATAAAAATATGACGCTAATAATCTCAATCTGCTTCAGATGGTCGTTAAATTTGGTTAAATGGTAAAAGTCAATGAAAAAAAATTGATTGAGTTGATATAGTTGAGTACCTAAAGCTTTTATATATAGTCTAGTTGGCTCTCATGAGTTCCATGCTCCAAGTGAGAACTATGGTCTAAAATCAAGATATGCATGGTTGTGAACTTGTGATCTACATATCCATCTCCTAAAATTATGGATTTTATTAGCATAATATAATACAAGATATGTGGTCAAAAGAAAATTAATCCACCAAGAAACATCCAATCGCGACAATAATTTAAAGACAAACAGGCTTTCCATAGTAAGTTTTCCGAACATGTTTCTTCTCTAATAATATGGATAAAAACAAACGATTAAGTGTCCCTTAAACTTCATGCATGTAGGACATGAAGTTCAAGGGACATGGAGGACACTTAAAACACTTTCCACACTACCTCACAACATCTACCACCACAATGCACCACTACACCAACGCAACCGCCCCCACCGTATTAACATCTAAACCCTAACCCCTATCTAACCACTAAATGAAAAACCCTATACATCATAAACCTTAAACCCTAAAACCATCAAACTAACCCATAATTATTAAACAGTTATAACCCCTAACCACTAAAGCATAAATTCGAAATTCTAAACCATTAACTTCAAGCCCTACGTACTCTATAAACACACAGATCCACGCACCACAGAGCACAAAGCCCCCCTTCATGAAAAACTTGCCCAGGACCCACCAGAATTCACAACCACCAACAAAGTTATGCATCACTAGTTCCATAGAAATACACACTTCACTACTAACAATGCACAAAGGTGTACATTGTTTTATAAGTGCACACTAATATACCCCCAAACCCCTAAATCCGGAACCCTAACCCCTAAACTTCTGAACCCTAATATACCCCCAAACCCTAAACCTTAAACCCCACAAAATTGACCACTGCAATACTAACACATAATGCACAACACTGCCCCCGAGCATCTTTAGGACTAGTAATGCACAACTTTTTTACTCTAAGAGTGCAAAAGGTGTCCATCATTGTGTAAGTGCACACCTTAAAACCTTAAACTCCTAAACCCCACAAAATTGACCACCGTCATACTAACATAGAATACACAGCATTGCCCCATAGAATGCACACCTTTGCTACTAGCAATGCACAACTGTTACTTTGGAGTGCACAAAGGTGTCCTACGGTGCACCACACTTAGCGCCTCCATGCACAACTCAATGACATACAATGCAACCCTTCTTAAAATCAAGAGTAAAAGACATTTTTGGTCCTAGACTTATAGTGGCTTGGACAATTTTAGTCCTTTATAAAAAAATTTGCCATTTTATGGACAGAGTTATTGTGGCGAGGACATTTTTGGTCCTCCGTCTATATTTCTGTTAGATAACCGTATGAGAGAGGGGCAATTACGTCAATTTAGGCTATCTCCTTCTATCTATTATATCAATGTGTGTTTGGCGGCTTCGATTCTCCTTCTATCTATTTGATTAGTAACCTGTTTGGTGACTTCGATTCTCCGGCAATTTCTTCGTACAACTGCAACTTGGACTCTCCGACTCCTTCGAATTATGACCGAGAAGAAAACAAAACACACATAGATATAATAGATAGAAGGAGATAGCCTAAATTGACGTAATTACCCCTCTCTCAGACGGTTATCTAACAGAAATATAGATGGAGGACCAAAAATGTCCTCGCCACAATAACTCTGTCCATAAAATGGCAAATTTTTTTATAAAGGACTAAAATTGTCCAAGCCACTATAAATTTAGGACTAAAAATGTCTTTTACTCTAAAATCAATGATTTATCAACAATAATCAAAACATACTCCAATGAACCACAAAAAAAAAAAACAAAAAAAACAAAAAAACAAAAAAAAAAACAAACAAACAAACAAACAAAAAAACAAAAAAAAAAAAAAAAAAAAAAAAAAAAAAAAAAAAAAACTAAGAGAACAAACATGAAGTCATATCGAAGAGTCACCACCCGTGGTAGAAAAAATCAAAAGAAAGAACAAAGAAAATGACATGAAAAATTCTTAAAACTATTGTTATTATTCCCTAAAATCACGCATCACAATTTATAAGAAAACGATCTACAAGGAAATTATGTGGAAAACTATCTAAATGTCCCTAATGCAATAAATAAATAAATAAATAAATAAGATTAAAATACCCATTAAATTCTATATATCTATGAAATCTTGCCAAATGAAGAGATCAAATTAGACCAAAATCTAGTTCTGAATGTATGTACCTTCAAAGTGTTAGATCCAATGTCTAGGAATTGAAGCATGGTTAAATTCCCAAGTTCCTTTGGCATATGTCCTGAGAAAAGAAAAACAATGCTTTGTTACTATAAGTTGCGTAGTGACGACAAATTAAATTCACTAAGGAAGGGAATTGCTTTGATTATCTGATTATGAATTAACAAAGAGGTACGAACCAGAGAGACGGTTGAACGGTAAATTAAGAGAACGTAAGGAACGCAAAGCGTATATCTCCTTTGGAATAACACCTGCAAATTATTTTCATATTAATAAACAATAAATAACGTATGACTTGATCATTGACATACAGATTTATTTTTAATATGATGCATATTAATGTTTACTGTATTATATATTTATTTTTAATAAATTTATTATATAATGCTTTTTGAAATATATAAGTACATTTAGAAAACGGTTTTCAAATGTAGTTTACTTTATTTCTTTAATTTTCAAATCTTTATCATATTATATTAGATAGACTAGTCAGAACTGTCCGCACATTCTTACGAAAAATCTAGTAAGTTTTCATGGGAGATAGATGTGTGTACCTTCAAAGTTGTTATATCCCATATATAGGAGTTGAAGCATGGTTAAATTCCCAAGTTCCTTTGGCATACGTCCTGAGAGAAGAAAAACACTATTAGTAGTTAGGAGTTAGGACAAATTAGGAATCAAATTGTTTTTGTTTTTGTTTTTGTTTTTTTTTTTTTTTAAACTTAGGTGATCCCACTTTTGCGGAACTAATTCTAATCAAATTAAATTGTTTTTCTTGTGTCACTTACTGAGTGACTTAACAAAGAGGTACATTACCAGAGACACAGTTGACATATAAAATTATAAATTAAGAAGATGCAAGCATGACAATGCATATAATGAACCATCCCGAGATATGAGATATAAGAAAACAAAGTTAAGAGCTAGAAATTGTCAAATATTTAACGCGTGAAAAAAATAATCAAAGCACAAATAGTAATAGGGAAATTTGTATAGGCATGATTGTTGAGTTTATGAGTTATTGTGTGCCTTTTTACTTAGTCTCAAGCAAAGAGAAAGGCATAGCTCTAAGTATGATCCCCAATACTGTAACAGAAGTTCATATTACACATGAAGTTACAAATTATCTTTATGGATACCTCTTAACTGATTGTTATGAAGATATAACACATTAAGCTTTGGGTAGTTTTCAAATTGTTTTGGTACATGCCAACTAAAATTGTTGTAAGATAGAGATTTACTCTGAAGCAATACACATTTATATAAACTTGATGGGAATCTTGGGATTTCACCTCTAAATTTGTTCTTATGCATGTTAAGTTTTTGGAGTATAGAGAGATGATTTCCAAGATCAACAGGAAGTTCACCAAATAACAATCATTATACCATGGAACGTTGTTCATCTTGTAAATTAAACCACTAACACAAAATTCTTTTTTAGTATACTTAAAGTTCATTTTTAATATACTGAATGTTTATTTGTTGTGTACTAAAAATTCATTATTTGATATACTATCTAAAAATGAACTTTCAGTAAATTAAAAATGAACAACCAATATACTAAAGATGAATATTTATTCGTGGTCCAACAATATAATTTGCTACCAAATAAGTTATTGGCTAAAAGAGATAATAGAGTTTTCAACTTAGACAAGTTTAATGGCAAATTTTACCATGGACCAGGACCAACCTTGCATTGTGGACCATGTTCCAAAAACGACATTCCGATTATGTACATGCAGTTAATATATTATGTAATCTCAGTTAACATATTATGTACTTGTAAATAAACTGAATATATATACATAATATGTTTATTGTAATAGGTACATAATTTATTAACTGAAATTACATAATATGTTAATACATGTACATAATACGTTAAATGTAATAATGCATATATTTTTTAACTACAGTACATAATATGTTAATATAATAGTACATAATTTATTAACTACATGTAAATAATATGCATGTTAACTGCATGTGCATAACATGAATATATTTTGGACTATGGTACATAATGTAAAGTAGACTCTTATCTATGGTGTAACAATGGAAGTTTAATATGTTTAAAAGAGAAGGCCATAAAAATGATTATAACTCAAGTAGTTTAGGTAGTATCTAAATTTTATATAAATGTACCACAAAGTCTGCTGTTAGATAAATCTAGTTCGCTCAAGGATGACAAAGCCCCTATCTCTCTTGGAAAAGCACCTACAAATGATTTACATATCAATAAACAAAATATATTAGTAAATAAGAGAGAAATCAATTCATCTATATATTATGAACCTATCCCAAGAATATGAATAACACTACCATAAAGTCTGTTGTTAGATAAATCAAGTTAACCGAAGGATGACAAAACCCCTATCTCATAAAACCCCTATTTATTTTAATTTGCACATATATATTATGTAAAACGAATAACATTATATGCTCATCAATGTATGTAATTTATATAGACACATCTTCAGATTAATGTGAGTTTGGAAATCTGTATTAATTAACTAATTAAATAATGTACCAAGACTATGTGATTTAATGGTACCCGGGTTGGATTTCCATTTGGAAGGTTGTGAGTTCAAGCCTCAGTGGAGGCGCTACATAGAGACAGTAGCATTAAAAAAAACCTAATTAAATAATGTTGTTTATTACAAAATTATAAAAATTATAATATAAAAAGGTAAAATAGCACTATTAGTTCATTAATTGTGACCATGGTATATGTATAATCTCTTAGTTATTTGTAGTGTTGATTTAACCTCTCAATTTTATGAAGAATTTAGTCTATAAGGGATCTACGAAGAGATTACATTAATTACAGAAAAAATACAATTAAAAGAACAAAATTGACATTTTTGTATATAAAAAAAGTTATTGATATAATTTTGTAAGTATGTAATTAATTTTTTTTTTATGTGAGGAAAAAACGCAACCATTATTCTAAGATCTGCACTAAGTAGTTTGATATGTTTTATACTTAAAGTTGCTTAAAACAAATTAATAAGAATGTGAATGAAAACTCTTAGCAAGCTCTATTTATTGACTTCATTCAGTAATTCTTTTTAAGTCATAATTCTTGTTCCATTAATCAAATATCGTAGCCCATGACTAACCCGACCCTCTCCTTTCTAGAGAACCTTTGGCAGTCATAAAATTTCAACTTTTCAAAAAATTTAAAAGATGAGAAAATTATTATTCTTTTTCTTGACTTACTGAGAATCTAATAATTTTATTAAATAATATATTTATCATTTTTTATGTCATACTGTCATGTTAAAAATCTTTTATACATATAATAAATTTGACTCTCCTACCATTACATATTCTTTATCAAAATACCCTTTCCTATGTAATCTGATTTATAATTAAGTTGATTATATATATATATATATATATATATATATATATATATATATATAACGAACCAAAAGATTAATAATTATTAATAGGAAAATTCGTATAGGAACTCAGGCACTCTGCCTTTCTGCTTATTGTCTCAAACAAAGCGAAATGTATACATATAACTATATAAGTACGAGACACAATGGACAATACCGTAACAAAATTTCATATTACATTATGAAGTGATCTTTACACATACCTGTTAACTGATTGCTACCAAGATACAACTTCTCAAGCTTTGTTAAGTTTCCAAATTCTTGTGGCACATGCCCACTCAAATTATTGTATGATAAAGAAATAGTTTGAAGCAATGAACATTTAGATAAACTTAATGGGATTTCACCACAAAATTTGTTCCCAGGCATATTAAATATTTGGAGTTTAGGAAGATGATTCCCAAGATCAAGGGGAAGTTCACCAAATAGGCTATTATATGAAAGAGATAGAGTTTCTAACTTAGACAAATTTAAGATGCCCAAAGGAAAAGATCCACTAAGATGATTATGGCTCAAATTTAACCACTTTAGTTGGGGAAGATTGCCTATTTCTCTTGGAACACTCCCTTCAAGAGAATTAACTCCTAAATGTAAGACCTCAAGTTTTGAAAGATTAAAAAGGGACGTGGGAAGGAAACCACTAACACTATTATTCCCCAAATACAAAAATTTAAGGTTTGATAAGAGACCAAACCAAGATGGTATATTCCCACTAAAGTTATTGATGCTACACTGAAGAACTTTGAGGCGTTGCAATTGAGAAAGTTCTCGAGGGAAAGAATTATGAAAATTGTTTTGGCTCAAGTTAAGTGAAACAAGGAAAGAGAGGTTTCCCAAATCTGGAGTTAATTCTCCAACAAGACCCATGTTGTAAAGATCCAAAGCAATCACTCTATTGTGACGAGAGTTGCATGTGACTCCAATCCAGTTACAAGGAGTCATACTGTGAACGGACCAATTGTTAGCTAATATTCTATGAGGATCAAAAGAAATTTGTGATTTTAGAGAAAGAAGGGCATGTTTATCAGTGGTAATGTTGGTATGGGCATTAATGGTTAAGCAAACCATTAGATAGTGCAAGAAGAAGATGGATAAACATAAACAATGGCGAGTGATCTCCATAGCTTAACACAATCTATTATGTAAGCAAGTATTGGGTGTTTTTTGCTTAGTGCTTTTTATAGCCATATTGCAGTTCATTGATGAGATGTGTCTCCTCAACTCAGAACCACTCAATTTTTATCCTTGGAATTGAAAAAAAAAATGGAAATCCATGAGCATTTTTGTTTTACTCGAATTTGTTTGTAAATATAACAAATTTAGGCGTATTAAATTTATTAAGTCATTAAGTCAATACTGTAAGTTTATTAATATAATTCAATATTGCAGATTCATTGAGCCACTGCCGCATGTTTAAGTAACTACAATTGGTTCACAAGTCATTATTGCAAGTATATTAAATCCGACTGTAAGTTAATTATATGTCTCTATTATATGTTAATTAAGTCAGTACTTTAAGTTTATTACACACTTATTGATTGGATATATTGAAGAAATATGTTAATATGATTGTCCTTAAAAGGTTTTAATGAAATATTTTTAAAAATATATTTTTATACATTAATTTTATTTATACAAACAATAGAGAATAATTTTTTTAAGTGTTGAACATGTTTATTGTTATATCATTTTAATGAACATGTTTATTCTTATAATAAACTACACTTGATCTATATATGAATTTTTATAAGCCAACAATATTATTATAATGAATTAATGTACATAATATATTATATACCTTAGTCTTACATATAATTTGTCAATTTGAGCTTACCATAAACAAAAATTGTAAGTGCTAAGACTTTGAATTTTGTGGAAATTAAAATGATAACAATGCGAAGCCCCTAATTCTTCACAATGTACTTGTTATTAGATTATCCTTATTCTTAAAATACTCTATCACTTTTAAAATTGGATCCCATTTTTACATCATCAAATTTATAAATTCTTCATAATTTTCTCTACATCCCTACAATACTATCTCACTTGCAAAATGATATCACTTTCATTTTATATTATTATAAATACAATAATAATAATAAATTAAAAAATAAAAAAAAAAAACTGTACTATAAAAATTAGGCTTGCAAGCTAGCTATTATAGAGCCTTTGTGGATGTAAATCATAAAATGCGCAATTAGTCCATACACTCGGGGCACAATCAATCCACACACTCCTATGAAACAACATTTCTTATTTACAAATTATCAACCTAATTTCTCCAACACTATATGAATTTAAAAAGTACTAGTAATTTACATATCGTACGTCTTAAGCAAAATACTTAAGATGTAAATTGCGGATATGCATTATTCTTTTTTTAAAATATTTTTTTTTTAATGTAGGGTTTAATATGCTAAAAGGATAATCAATAGGAACATATGCTTGATTTAAACATGTCTAGAAACGACACGAATCCTCTTAGTTTAATGTTTACAGCTCGAGTGCAAGTAGGCAAGTAATTTGTCCACAACGAGGACTGTCAATTGAATCTCCCGGTCTATCACGGAATACTCTTGATTGATAACTCTATTTGTGGTGGGAATTAAGTTTATTTTTAATCTTTTCTAATAGAGAGGTTGATATTATTTAAATGAATATAGTGACATTTTTTTAAATAAATTTGATCAAAAGCTAAAGTTATCATTCCCACAAATTTGTATTCGAGCAACAGTGGGACATAGGGTGTGTTTCATTCACACATATAAATCGGAATTGGAACGAGAATCAAATATTTAGAAATGCTAATAGGTTTTGATAAAAGTATTTTGCATGTTTGGTAGTATGGTGGATATTGAAATGATCAATTACCAAGATTGTTGTCTGGTTATGTATGTGTTGAATCATACTAATCTCCCGTCATAGTTCTTGTGTTGATGATGGTTGAATGATCCGGACTGCTGCAGAGATTACACGAGTAGTTTGTCTCTCACTTCTACTCAGCTCTCTCTAGATGGTATATGAGGTATGTAATGTGAGCAGTGAGAGGACTAGTGACATTTTATAACCACTGACCATCATTGTGGTTGTATGTTTTAGGTCTCCTAAAGCCAAACTAGACTCCTAATCATAATGGTAGTCTAGCTATTAGTTTATTAGTGTTGCACCACATATCAAATACTTAATATATATTATTATAACTTATTGAAATTGCACCGTGAGACTTGAAATAAAAAAGTAATGTATTTTTACTTTTTTTTTTTAAGTTATGCACCAGTTACGTTCATTAATTAAACTTGTTTAAACAAATATAAATAATGAAGACAGAAAGCATAAAATAAAGTAAAAACACAAAAGAATTGTTACGCATTTCGGAGCTCCTTCTCCTACGTCTGCGGGGCACCCCACGTCTGCCCAATCCACTATAGATGTTCACCAAAAGGAGTATTACAAGAGGTAAATACACATTGGCTCCAGCCTTTACCACTACCACTCTTTCTAACACCTATCAGGACTGACACACGTATGCCAGAACAATCTTCACAAGATGCTTCAGCTGTACCACGTACAGATCATGTGTTACAGATTAAATCTTCTTAACAATTAGATAACATAGCAGATTAAATTAGGAAGCTTTGTAAGGAAAGTGTGCACTCAGAATTGTAGACTCAAAATTGGCAACTTTCCTCTTTGATGTGGCTTCTTTTTATAGCAAGTATTAAGCCTCATCTTTGATCCTTAATCTTAGCCTTTTTCTTTGTTCGAATAAATCAGAGCCACATCCTTTTGTTTCTTGAAAGCTTCATGCGCTGCTTGCTGACTTCATTCACCAATACATACTGTCCACTCATTTAAGCATCACATGGTCCAAAGAAAAATTAATTCTAACAACTCTAATTAACATCTTAATTAAAAACTAATAATACCACTACTAAATAAAATAGCCAATAAGGTTTAACGTGTAATAATTTTACACTCACACTTATCCTAATGTTATAATAATAACTATAGGAAAAGTTACATTCTCCCACTTGGTGAAAACACTATTGTTAGTCCCGGTAGGGTCGAAAGGAGAGTCTAGAGGGAGGGGGGGGGGGGGGTGAATAGACTCTACTCGATTTTTCAAAGCAACTCCTTTCGGAGTGATGCACAACAGAATAACTTGTTTGTTTTAGTTTGAACTTTGCACAGTTTCGTTATGGAGAATTATCGCTAGGTCAATATGAAATGCAATGCATGAAAGATAATCAACCGAAAGTAAAAAGATAAATTGAAAAAGTATATATATCAATATAGGTGTCATTTAAAATTAAAGATTTAAATGAAATATTTTTAACAATATATATTTTTATATATCGATCTTTTTTATACAAAAAGAAATAGAAATAATATATTTAAGTGATGATTGATGTCAATTTTATGAACCAGCTGTGGCTAATCTCATCGCAGAATTGTAAGCACTTCTAAGTGTGGGACAGTTGACTTGAAGATTTAAGGCTGCTCCATACTTAATTAATGCAAATGGTCGATCCTTTGACGTTTGGTTAAAGATGTGATGGATTTAATTAACCCGGGGTAGACCCGAATCACAAAACCCGATAAATAATGGATCGGAAAGATGTAGAATGTGTGTCGCAGGGACAAATTTGTATTGATTATAGTTGTAGAAAGGTTATAAGGTAAAATGTTGTAATAATAATAAGTAGATGCCTTAGGCAAGACAATAATTAATCCTTTTATACTAGCTAAAACTCCCAACCGTCCCCCTATTCTCGCGGGGCGGTTGGATCGCGCGTTGACCGGGTCCGCGTGAGTGCCCGGGGCCATCTTATGCCCTCGGGCCAACGTAGGCCTCGCCCGAGGCTGCCTCGAACCGGGCCACGGTTGGCCCGTAGGCCGAGGCATTGGTCGGCCCCATCCGGGGCCGCCATAGGCCCTTCGTGCCGGCCTTTCTGGATCAGGTTGCCCTGAACCTATACCTAATATATCCATCATCAGTCCCCCACTCTCCGAGTTGCGGGTTGTCGTCAACGAAGGAGAGTAGCCCGAGTCGAAGGTCGACCCCGAGCCCACGAGGCATTGTCCGCCCCGCGCCCCCGGGTACACCCAAGTATGCTTCCGTCGCGCTCGGGACTTCTTCCTCCATAGGAAACCTATAAGTCTTGGGTTCCCCCTTCCACAAATGCCTAGAGAATCCCACATGTCACACCCATCAACTCCCTTCAACTTTCCCATTTCCCCAAGTTTGACTTTTTCTCTTCTTATCCTCATATCCCATTTTCAAAATTCAAACTTTCCAACTACCCCAAAATCTAATCCAATCTTTTCCCCCATTTTCCTTACTTAAACCCTCTTCTTCTCCATCTCCCACATTCCTCCTTCACCACTCCTACACACCCTCTCTCCCCCGCCGGCTCACCTTCCCCCGCCTCCTCGCCGATCGCCGCACCACGCCGCCGTCCCCCGTGTCGCCGTGCCACGCCAATATCCTCTCCACGGCCCTCCGGCTTCCCCAAGCTCCCCAACTTCTCCAAACACCTACCCCACTATTTTCCCCCTTTCTCCCTTACTTAAACCTTCTCCTTCTCCCATTTTCCACACTCCATCCACTCTCTCTCCCCTCTCCACCCGTTGGCCTATTCCCGATTCCCGTGCCACGCCGGCGACCACCTCACGGCTCCCCGGCTTCCCCCCATTCCTACCCTTTAACTCCGGCCTCCTCCCCGCATGTCCGTCAAGTTCGACGCCACCGAGTTTGACGCCATCGACTTTAACGATCTCTTCACGTCTCTAGGCGGTACCGATCCCTCCATGGGACTTGAGGAGGACCTCTTCCGCCCCCCCCCCCCCCCCTACGGCAGCCGAGGCCCGCACCGGCCTCCCCAATGACACCCTGGTCGAGGCCCGCCCTCTTCAAGCCGTGCCCGGGGCCATCAACACCTCTACTCGTAAGTTAACTCGTTCCAAACATGACCCCATTATTCCCCGTTCTGTGCGTCCTTATATTACCGAGGAGGACTTGGACCTCGTGCGGTTGTACGTGGGGCCCGGCGTGGAGGTCCTCGCCCCCCTCCCGCACGAGAATGTCACCGAGCCCCCGGAGGGCCGGTTCTTTGGCGTCCACGTTATTTCTCTAGCCTCGGGCCTACAGTTTTCTCTCCACCCCTTCGTGGTCGAGTTGTTGAAC